TCAACCTATTGGGAGGATTGGCGGCTATGATTGAAGACATCGAAGGCGGCGGAGGAATATTTGCCTTCTCTTTGGTTTGTCTTATAATATTTACGCCGCTTTCGTTTGTCTGTTGGTTTAGACCCCTATATAAGGCTTTCAGGTATTTATCGGGAATTAAGTAAACAATTGTTTATCTCTTTATAAACGCATAAATATTTATTTTGTCGATTATATACAGAAACGACAGTTCATTCAATTTTATGGTTTTCTTCTTTGTATTCTTCTGTCAATTGGTCTTTGCTATCATTTGTGCGATCGGTATTCCAGGCATGGGCTCAGTGTATGTAAAGATCCACTCATTTTCTTATTTTCATTTATGTTTAGTAATGATTTGACAAAAATAATGCTTAAATTAATTACTTTACTATCAAATGAATCATTTTTAAAAGAATTGTTAAGTAGTTAATTAATAATTACAGAAAAGTGTCGGTAATAGTAATGTACATATAATATGCATTTTATAAGTTTCCTACACATTAGTACACATTACCATGTTTATATTTTCCACATCACATCGTTTCTAATTCATATCAACATGTTTGAACATGTTTGAAATGTTCACTCATTAGATGTAAATGAGTTCGGTTTAGTTCTTACTGATTAGCAGTACAACCCTTTTTGCATTAAATGTTTGAAATAATGATTTACTTTAAATGATTAATGGTTTGAAGTAACAAATTTGTCACCGAATTAACATCGCTAATTCACCTGAAGACCATTAGTATAGAAGAAGTCATATAAGTATAAGAACACACGTTATCACTGCCGGTCGATACGAAACCGGAGTAAGAACCACTTAGTTAAGGTCTGCATTTGAATTGTGTTGGATTTGTGATGAAATCAATTTAATGAATGTATGAAACGATAGGTTCACAGTATATATCGGTCGACGGGCGCGAGTATGCAAAAGGCACAGATGGAGTTCACGCAGGGAGTGCTCCGCAATGAGACCGTACAACACGCGGCCACCGCCGCGGCTACCGGTGCCGCGAGACAGGCCATGAGTCAGCAGTTCGGATCAAACAACTCAAACAACAGTGGGTCTGGTCTTAGATATTGAGTTAATTAAGTCTTACAAGAGGTAAGCACTGACGCCAGTGGTGTCTAATATTGAAATGGATTTTTAAAATTTTAATGATTTACAGTCAAAATCAAGTTTCAGAAGACATTCCCTTTTATTTAAAAGAATTATTAATTTGGGAATATTTTACCGTCTCTTTTAATGTCAATATTAATTATAATTAATAATAATAACAAGCTAGCTACACAATTAAGTCTGGTAAGTCATATTTTCCGGAATACAAACCTGATTTGATAGTTGAAAAGGATTGTAAAGATTTGAAAAACAAAGTTTGTTTTTTATCAACAATAATTTGTTATAAACTCTAATTTCATTTATTTAAATATTATCCAAAAAAACTTTAATTATATTTAATGAATAAAATATCAATATTTATTGTTAATTATAAAATCGTTTTTATGTTTATATTAATTGATACAAATTGAAGTGTTTGTGTAATCCCTCTAATTAAGAGGTTATCAAAAGTATATATTTAATGAATCATATATTATATCGATAACAACGGTATTAAACAATTAAATTACAAAGCGATGTATACGTTAACCACAATTCGCTTATTGCTCAAATAATAGATTAGTCCCATAGGATTAACATGGGATCCCATGTTAAATGCCATAGGGTGGGGGAGGGGGCCGAACGATCCTATAAACAACATTTTTCATCAAAGAATTGGTTAAAAATTATTTCTTAGAGATTGAATTGACGTTCAAAAGAGTGAGTGATTTAGTGGACGAATGAAATGCCATAATGTTATGAATTTCACTCATTTGATTGCTTTGTTTGGATTTGTGGTCCGCATTAATAGCTGTGCTCTCCGGCAGAAGTAAACCCAATATAACGGCTGTAGTTGTGCTCAGTTTCGCCACATTTGTCTGAATGTGAGGGAAGAAGACGTGCAAATCAAACGGATCTATAAATGTCTCCAATCGTTGCAATAATTGTTGAATTTTGACCACTTGTTTGCTTTTGATGGACTCGTCGCGAGTGGTGGCCAACAATTGTTTGAAATACAAGAGATCGAAATACAATTGCAGAGCAATCACTTGTTTGATACTCTTTGGGTACTCGTGTAAATTTTGACCACTTGTTTGCTTTTGATGGACTCGTCGCGAGTGGTGGCCAACAATTGTTTGAAATACAAGAGATCGAAATACAATTGCAGAGCAATCACTTGTTTGATACTCTTTGGGTACTCGTGTTCGGACAGGCCGTCACACGCACTGCCGTAGAGTTGACTTAAATATTGGCTTAATGTGGAGAGTGTGTCGATGACCACTACTCTGGGAACTGTATGTCCAGTCAAACGGTTCACTTCATTAGACAATTGCGTGAAATTGTTGTGAAGAAATGATGACATCTGAAGCGGTACTTCGATCTTAGAGGTGACTGTTTTTCCTTCGTCTGACACTTCAGTTGTTTTAATGATATCCCAAACGAAAGAATTGCATATAAATGTGTTTAAATCGGTTAATGAATGGCTCGTTGTATTTGAAAACAATTGTTTCAGTTTCAGATCAAACATTGCTTTATATGACTTATAAGAATAGGAAAGCAATATATCTTTCATTTTAGACCACGAATACTGTTTGACGGGAGAAGAGGTCTCAAAACATTGCTTCAAATGAGGGCACGACTGAGTTATTTGACGAAAAAACTGTGCACTAAATAGTATTATTTCATTATTGGTATCGTTATTGGACTCGAAGAGACCCTTTATATCTTCTATTAGCGAATGGCAGGCATTTACTAAATGTGTTTCAATGGTCTCCAAGTCCTGACTTTGTATTAATTTAAAGTTAAAATCTCTAATAATTTTAATATCATTTAAAAGATATTGAAGCAAATGATCGAAATCAGAACAAAAGAGATCAATGGTTTGGTTTTGTGCCAAAGCTTTCTTTGATAGACTGGAAGAACTGCTTTCCGATTCATTCCATATAAAGTTAATTACTTCCAAGTCTTCGTATTTCAGACATTTATTCACAACAATGTCTTCGAATTTATTTCTAAACAATTTCATAGTTTTGTCAATATTTCCAGTAATAATGCCATTAATTCTGTGAATCACATGACTTATGATAAAGTGATCCCAAATCGGCAAATAAACGCCCATAAGTTCTTCACAATAGACCTCCCATTCATCAGTCTTTTGGCTTCGTTTCAAATAATCGTTGATTTCATTCAATACAACACATATAGTGTTCACGGAATCGATCGATTCAAAGAGTTTAGCCAAAAGCGGTTCCACAAAAGTCTTCATATTTGAAACCCATTGTTTAGTTTGGTTTGTGATCATCTGATTGTCAATCACTTCGAGCGCTGCTTTTGGTGTTATTCTAAAGTCAATTAAACCGGACTTTACTTCACTCGTCAAAGTCCTTGCTTTCAGAAAACTGGATTCAAAACTAATTTTAGTCATTCTTTCGTATCTTTGATGCAATAAAGTCTTTGATTTGATGCCATTGTTCGCGAAGAATACCGAATGAATGCATTTAATTGTATTGAATAATAAATTAATAAAATTGCGTAAAATGTCTTTGAAATCGCAATTTTGGTCAAAACAGTCTCTAATACCAGACTTTCGTTTCTCCAGAACTGTATCGAAGAGATGATTTGGATTCAAGTCTTGCAACACAAGTAAACAGCAAAAAATATCAGCATTTGTCGACTCATCCAATGTATCCATTAATGAACTCTTTTGGTCGAAATGCCAGCACTTCTTCACAATCACTTCATTGAATCGATTGATAGCTGTTTTGTACTGTTTTAATAGACTCGGCGTCTCATTCGCCGGAACTAATTGTTCAAAGAGTTGACACAAATGTTGTCCATAAAAGTAATCATAAGTGGAGCGCAACAGATCCTCCTTCTCAAGAGATGTCCAAATCTGTCATATTTTTAACACAAAAAATAATTAAATGACAATTCTTTGATTGTTTTCAATAGTAATAAACAATAAAATGCATACATTTAATGGCATTTCAATTACAAGTTTCAAAATAACTCCACATTTGTATCTCTTGACTAAATCACCACTTCCTCGGGAGTGCTGTTCATCAAAACCATTGGTCTTATCAAATGAGCTCTGTTTCAAAGACAGCATATGATTTGATTGACTGCTGGCCAGCGATTGCAAAGAGTTGAGGACATTATCAACGCTTTGGTTCATCTGTTTGATGGTATCGACGGCTTCGATGAGATCGCCATATCGTTCACTACAAGACAATAGCAATCAATAGGCGAAGACAACAAACATATAGATCTCATACCCGACTAATTGTTTGAGTTCTTGTTTCTTGCGGTCGATGTCTGTCTTGAGTTTGTTTTGGATGTCTATTATCTCAGTTATGGTGAACTTCTCGAGCAAATAGTCGACATTTGTTTGACTCGTTTCAGACATTGTCTCTCGTGTTGTCTTCAGCTAACTATCAATTCATTGTTGACAACCCGTAAACCAATTGATCACTCAATCAAATACACTTCACTTCAAGCCTAGTGTTGACAACTCATTGCATCTTTTATTACACAACCCTTACATACGTTACCATTGGTTAGCATAATATATGAATCCCTCATACATTTTACTAACCACTTACAACTATTATAACCACTGTTCAGAAATTTATTATTTTTTATTAAAAACCATAATATTATTATAACTATAATAAATTTTAATTATTTCATTGTCTAGTATTAAACAAATCATGTTTTTTAAAAAATAATTAAAATACTCAAATAATTAACAATTCAATTATAACCCCCGCCCCCTATAATCGTAACGTTATTAGAGGTTAACAAATCAGTGAAAATAATGTTTATTAGACTTTTTTAAAACTTTTTAA